CGCTTGAGCCTGCTTTGTATATATAATTTATAAACGAAAAAAGCCTCATAGCAAAAAGAAAGAAAGAAATCATTTGATAAGTTTTAATTATCAAAATGAAAACATTACTCATATCTTTCTTAGAGAACGCAGCAAGCAATGGTTGTGTTAGTGTTGGCTCTTATTTGCCTTTGCTATTGTGGACGCAGAAGAAGAGATATCTTGCCAAAAAACCATACCAGAATATCCCCCTCACCCAACCGTCTAGGGAAGCAGATCATTTTCATTCTAACAAGATATAATAATCTCTTTTATTTCTCCTTTTTTTTTTGTGTTCATTTTCTCCAAGTCTCCAATTCCTAAAACAAGCAAAGGCAAAGCTCCGACAAACCCCGGTTTCTCTCCAAACAAGGCCTCACAGTTCCAATTTACTGAGCATAAGAGCTGAGGGAAACCCCTGATGGTTGATAAGATGGATAATATTACTATCTGTACTGTGAACATTTGAAAGGATCATCATCTATCCAGCGGTCCGATTTCCATCGTTATGATCCAGAGCATTACTTTGATCTCTTGTAAGTCCGGATGGGATTGATCTCCTGCAAGAAACAAATGAACCTTGTCCTTCACTATGATCCAGCTGCAGCCTGGACTCTTCCTTATCCCCTTTGATTTTTTGGTCATCATCACTTGGTTTCCATCCTTCATTTTCCCCAGAGTAGAATATAAGTTGGACAAGACCACATAAGGGGTTGCATCATCAGGGTCCAATTGAATTAGGCGCTGAGTTGCAAGCTGGGCAAGATCAAGACATAAATGAGTCCTGCTAGCGCTAAGAAGAGCTCCCCAAACCCCAGCATGGGGATCAAATGGCATTGAACGAATCAAATCGACAGCTTCATCTAGCAAACCAGCCCGACCAAGGAGATCAACCATGCAAGCATAGTGATCAGGTCCTGGTTCTATATCATGTAATGATTTCATTGAATTAAAAAACTGCCATCCTTCTTCTACTAGGCCCACATGGACACATGCTGAAAGAACACCTAGAAAGGTGATTTGGTTTGCCTTGCAACCTTCATTCTGCATGCTCCTAAATAAGTTAAGCGCCTCTTCCCCAAACCCATTTTGTGCATACCCAGTAATCATTGAGTTGAATGAAACAGTGTTGGGAGTAGGGATATTTGTAAAGATCCAATAGGCATCAGTAACATTCCCACACTTCGAATACATAGATACCAGAGAATTTTGAACAGATAAATCAAATTCCATATCCATCTTCAATAAAAGAGCATGGATCTGTATCCCCTCATTTAGACTGGCCAAACTGGCTGAAGCACTGAGCACACTGCTTAAAGTAAGAGGATTGATCCTGATTTCCTTTTGAAGCATCTCAATAAACCAATGGAGAGCCTCCTCATAATCCCCATTATTTACAAAACCCGAAATTACAGCAGTCCAAGCAACATCATCCTTCTCAGGCATCATTCTGAACAATTGGACGGCTTTCTCAGTCATCCCTTTGCTAGAGAATCCTGACATCATGGTCGTCCATGAGACTACATCCTTTGCAGGCATAATCTCAAACAGCCTAAAAGCTTTTTCAGTTTCACCACATTGAACATAACCAGCAATTAAGGAATTCCAGGAAACAATGTCTTTCTTGCTTATCATATTAAATATCTTAGAAGCTTCATCTATACATCCATATCTACTATACATAATGATACAAGAATTTCCTAAAAACACATCATAGTAAAATCCCATACAAGAAACTAACCCGTGCATCTGAATCCCTTCTCCATATCTACCGAAACTACCACAAGCTTCCAACAGTACAGCCATGGTAGTGCTATTGACCTCCACTAGCCCTTCCCTTCTCATTTTCAAAAACAATTCAAACCCCGCTTTGAAATTCCCCATCTTCATATACCCATCAATCATTGCCGTCCAAGTAACCACATTCCTCTCCAGCATCCTATCAAACATACTTCTAGCATCAACAATCCTTCCCATTTTGCAATACCCATCAACCATACAACTCTGAGAAACCACATTGCTATCGACCATTCCCTCAAAAACTCGAACTGCTTCTTCAAATTTTCCCGCCTTCAAATACCCATTTATCAAAACATTTGAACAAACCGGTTCGCGCCACTTAACTGGCATATCACAGTAAAGCTTCTCAGCCTTGTCAAACATCCCCGCCTTTACAAAACCCGTGATCATGGCACCATAAGACACCTCATTACGCTCGGGCATCTTAGAAAACAACTCAAAACCTTCACCTACCATACACTGGTCCCTAATATAAGCCGTGATCATCGCATTATACGACGCTACGTTTCGTTCGGGAATTTCATCGAACAGTTTACGTGCCTTGGTAGTTTGGCCATTTTCGGCATATGCAGTGAGCATAGCAGTCCAGGAAATAGTATTCTTTTTCGGCATACGATTGAATACTGACTCTGCTTGTTTGATATCACCATTTCTTCCACTTTGAGTGATTTGGGAATTGCAGTAAACAAGAAAGCTGCTGGCTTTTCTGGTTTTGGACACGTTTTGGGGTTTAAAACCTGCTTCAGTAGACAAGTACGAGCAGTGAATCTTATTAGGCAAGCGCTTATAGAAAAGGGTAGTTGGTTTGAGTTTTGTTGGCATGTTTTAGTTTGACATCTCTCAATTAGCAAACTTGTATCAATCAGACGGGCAGAAGTAAAGTTCATGCTAATCAAATTGAACTAGACGACTTGCCCAAAAAGCCCAACCCCTTTGTTTCCATGGGTCTGCAGCACCCAGGAATTTGAATGGGCTTAAAAATTCTGACCCAATTAATATCAGAGTTTGGGTTAAAACTTAATAAAATAGGTAATTTACTCAAATGATCATCAAATTTATACCCGAGTTGCATTTTGGTCCCTCAATTAAATTATTCATTTAAATGATCCACCAACTTTTTACTGTTTGATGAATTGGTCCACCGGTACATTTTATATGAGTTTTAGTCATGTGAACTGCACATGAGGAGAATAGGAAGGATAAATGCGACTTTTTCGTAGTGGAGTTTTTGTTTCCTTTCTTCTTCTTCTTTTTCTTCTTCTTCCCTTCTTGTACAACCAAGTGATAGCGGCGTCGGAAGACAACTAGTCAGCGTGGGAGAGATGACAGCGACGACAGCTTCGTTCAAACATGACTTCTCCGACTTCGATGGCCAAGGTGGCGGCACGTGTTAAGCTTCTTGACAAGTTACAATGGTGGAGTTGGCTTTTCTCCATGATGAGAGAAGAGAAGAAGGCAGAGCCACCCCCACCACCAGCCCCAGCCCACACCCACTGCCCACCCTCTCTGCATCCTCCCCTATCTATGTTTTAATTAATTAATTAATGTTTTGGTATAGATTGACAATTTTAACTCTTAAATTAAAGCCAATATTGATGGAGTATAACAGTATGACCAATGTACCGATTAATAAAGAGTTGGTAGATCATTTGAACAAATAATTTAATTGAGGGACCAAAATGCAACTCGAGTATTAATTTAAGGACCATTTGAGCAAATAACTCTAATAAAATAATTAATTTTTCTTTTTGTTGAAAATTTCCAAATGTAAATACATCCCACCAGGCCATCTTCTTTATATATCAACATATTTTTGGACCGCATGCATGCATTGCACAGGATAGAACATGTGCATACATAAGATCTGGTTGCTTATCTAATCAATTAGTGATGTTTTTTAGGTGGGTTAGTCTAATGATTTTCATTACCCCAATGTTTGATTTATTATATTTCTACTACTATCCATTCCTATGTCCTTCGTTGAGTTTGTCAATAAAAGAGTATTAGTCACATCACATGTTGAATAAACCAAATCCGAATGAGCTGCGAAAACGTATAACTTCAATGGTAGAACACTTTAGTAACATAACGAAGATATGTAAGGTACTCCTTATTCGCTTGCTTTAGCATCAAATTTCAATTCTGGCAGACTAAACCCTTCAACCATAAATTAGACCTTTCTTGATTTAGAGGAGTAGGTGGATGGATGGCAAATCAAGATTACGAATAATTGAGCTGCTTAATAATAATATTGGTTAAATTAATCAGAATGATTAGGCTTTATTGGGCTGGTGCCTTGTGTTGGTGTCTTGTCGGGAAGCATATCGCTTTGGGTGGGGATTCATTCACAACCCACTAATGGAGGATGAGGGGATTTGGGGATCTAAATCCCACCTAAAGTGATGTGGTGGCGCCACATGCACCTTAGCGTATTGGATGGTCAATCATATTTTACTAATCTAGCTAATTGGGATCCTAATCCATGCCTTCTTCAGCATCTTCCTACAACCAAATCTTTGACTAATAGCCCTCGATTGTGCTTGAGATAATCGTTTCTCTTATCTAAGTGGGATAAATTAAAATAATTAAAATAAACAATAATGAGTTCTAATATATAAATCAAATAGGATAGTTGGGTTGACAAGATAAGTTAAAATTTCTCACTCTACGGTATCTTTCTCAAAAAATCATTGAATTTGACCGTGATACCACCACATAAAGTTGTCAGTTCACATGTTATAATATGGGTCAAAGATTAATATCACAAAACAAAACATGAGTTACGATGATATGTGTAAAATGGTAATATCACGTGGCGATGTTACTGTCACACCAAAAGTAACGTTTTTTTGTTTGTTTGTTAAAAACTCATAAAAGAATTTTATTAAAGATGTACGTGTGCTTTTTTAGGTTCCTGGTAAGCGCTTTCCTAAGAATCACTACAAAAGTGTTTCTCTAACCTAATAAACATCACTTATTATATTAAGTCAGCAAAAATACTATAGACAATACTATCTAGAACTTCATTTTATATGTTTCAAAGTCCCTCCAACACACAAAGGTTTTAAATTAAAATGAAGGCATATATCTTTTATAAAGAAGATAAGTGATGGTGGGTCTATTTTATGATAAATTGTCTTCCTTGGAATATGCCACATAACACGACTCTCCTACTTATATAAGGCCCCTGACTCGTTTAATTATACCACACCACCACTTGCAAAGCCATTTAGGCGTAATAGCTTCTAAGTTCTACACTTGCAGTTTGCATTTCCTCAGCTCTTTCTTTTCTAATCAATTTGAATATCTCTCTTGTCCAAATGGCTTCTTTGCTAGCTGAAAACTGGTCATGCATGAACAACAACATGGACATGAATGATCACTTATTTCCCGGAGCAGCTGGAGCTGGAACCTCATCAAACATGAGCAATGCCCTGCTCATGTCCTTGTTGGAAGAAACACAAGGCGATCAGGATCACGACGAAGAGCGATTGCGCAGCCTAATCCGTGCTCTAGAAGTAGAACTGGACCCTACTACTAGTGAAGATCATGAAATTTTCATGGAAAATCCTCATCAATTTGGTGGCATTAGTCAAGAGGATTTTCAGCCATTGGATGTGGGATATGTGAGCGGTGGTGATTTCCCTGGAACAGATGCAGCTGGGTTCGGTTGGATTGATATGGAAATAGGGTCTTCTTCTCAGGAGGGTACTGGTGAATCAGTTGACTGGTACATGGATTCTTGTCTTGATGATGAGATCGATTGCTTGTCTAGTAATTTTGGAGGGTCTACGACCACTCCCTTTGAGGAAAATGGGTTTCAGAATTTGTGGCAGGAAACATATATTAATACAAGGATGAATGTATAGTTGAGGCTTTATATATTAATTAGCACGTAACATTTTATTTGCAAACTCTACAAAGTTGTTCGTCTCAAAATTAAGCTCTTAATTTTCATTATTTAAAAAAAAAAAAAAAAAAGCTCTTAATTACAAGTTGAGATCATCAAGAGATAATTAATCGATCGATATCTTTATTTGAAAGAAAGCACAATTGGCCTTGCCAAATCCCTAACAACTAATTAAATACAAAAAAAGTTTTACTTGTGGATTTACCCAAGAAAACGTAACTTTAATCAAGAATAAGATGCTTTGAGATGACAGAATGCAATCTCAACAATACCTTTAACACAACCAGTTTGAAATTTAATTTTGTCTAATTCGTTTTTATCCAACTTGCCCTACTTTTTCTTTAATTTTTTGGATACATATGCATCATGTCGTGTGTGTGACCCAAAGGTTAAGCAAATTGCTAGCCAATATCTTTAATCACACTTTAGGAATAGCTGTCGATTGTATATAATAATTTTAACGAGACTCGAAGGAGGGCCCTTGTATCTAGTGACATGAGCTAGAAAGCTAGCTCCGCTACAAACGCTTTTCTGTCAGTATGTAGCACGTTAGAGTATATATATGATTGTTATCATATTAATATTATATAATACAAAGAAAACAAAATTTCGGGAGCACTATGCAGTGGCACCACTTGCCCCACTCCAGGACCTCCCCTACCATAGAAGGAAGTTGGAATATTAGTACTAGAAAGCACATCGAAAATGGATCACAGATGATTTGACGCTGGTACTAACAAAGGTCACAGTGTTTTCATGGTAAAGTCGCCACAAATAAGTATATATCACGTCATTGTGTTCTATTTTTTACACTACAAACATAATATGTGGCCAAAATTAATCGTGCTTGTGTGTGGTTTAAGGAAATTTGGCCGTTTGTGTGAGCAATGACAACAGTAATTGGAAAAATAGTATTCAGGTAAAAATTATTAAAGAATTCAGGAAAAAAAAATGTAGCTTGAATTATGATTTTTTCTGGCTAAAAAGGGATGTGAACAACTCGCCCTCAATGTATTAAAAAAAATATATATTTCTTTTAAAACTAAGTTATATGAAAGAGAGAAATCGAAAATATATGACTTCAGATGTATAGATGAATGGTTTTAACCATTTAATTAGAACTTGAAACCTCGTGTCCTAATAGTTTCTTTATTTTTATTGTTTAGTTTATACAATGCACGTAGAATGGAGGATTACAAGAGATTGCGAGTATTAGAATTTTTGAGTGAAACAAGAAAACCTAATTCATTACATTATTGTAGTTTCATGCATTGGCACATTTTGTACTCCTGTCATGAAAGGAAGGCGCATGCGTTGCTTACAATTAATTCCAACTCTTATTCACATACCACAGGAAAGATGAATGGAAATCGATAGGGGATCTCAAAAAAGTTGGTCCATTATAATTTGGTGGACAAAGGACATAACCACATGGTGTGAGGATCATTCACCCACCCTCCATTTTATAATTTACAAGTACTAGTATAAACATTGGGATCTAAATCTCTCTCAACACCACCAAACATGTTGTGGTGGCACCATGTGCTGCAAAGCAAGATTTGGAAGAAAAAAAGAAAAATGGGCATGCATCAACCCCTCATTATTATTTTTGTCGAAGCCACTTGTTCATCACTCATCCAATGTTTGTCAAAAGAAAACCCAACATCAACACGTGATGGAGATGTTAAATGTTCAATATCAAATGTTCGATGCCCCACTACGAAAGATTCTTGATTAAAATTAGTAACATCTATCAATTATGTATAGTTGCTATAGATGAATTATTCAAGTGGAAATTGAAACATCAAGAGCCTCTCAAACCTCACATCACTAAAGCAACGAATCGAAAATAATGTATCCCCTCGTGTAAGCATTTTGGTATGGTGCAAGTCACAGCTCTGACCAACCTTATTGCTTTATTATTGTTCTTTGGTGATCCGTCAGTGAAGATATGTTCTGACGTTCTGTACCTTGTTTGGGCCATATTCAATGCATGTATTATTATTATTATAGCTATGGATATCGCATTTGTGTGGTTGCTTTGAAAGCTGGAAAGGGCTAAGACTCGACAATGGGACATTTTTTAGTGGTACAAATTTGGAAGTGGTCCACTCTATATTATGCATCTTACGTTATATTATATTGTCAGATTGTTAATATATTTTAACGAAAAATCATATAATGCTAATATATCAATGGTTTAGATTGATAGTTTGACCACATAACGTGCTAATTTTAATCTATACATAACATGTTATATTATTAAACTGTCAATTCGAATCACAATTTCAAGTATTATAATCTGCATAATTAAATTAAACAATTATAATAACATGTTAAGAGTCTGGCAAATATTAACATGAAAATGCTTTGGTAAGAAAATAATTATTATTTATTTGCTCATATGCACATGATTGGCTGGTCCACAATGGAAGGTCATCCTAGTGGTGAGATGCCTATATTTAAAGGCCTAGTTCTCTTCGAGAGAGTCATATAGCAATATACAATCTTTAAGGAGTACCTTCACTTCTTCAGCAACTGGCTTTTTCCTTCAAGCCTTTCTTTGCTTCAATTGTTTCCTCTCTACAAAGACAACAAAAACTTCTTTTGTGAAAATGGGTTCTAGCACCGCACTGATCAGAAACTATGCAAGCATGAACGACCATGATCATGATGATGATTTGGGAGTTGATGAACTCATGGGATCCAACGGTGCCATTCTCATGTCCTTATTGGAAGAACTTCAAGAGGAAGATCGAGATGAGGAGAGGTTGAATATTGTGATTCAATCTCTGGAGGCAGAATTAGTCAACATTCCAAGCACAATGGACTCCAAGTCGACAGTCCAAGATGTGGAAGATGGTAACTTGTGGAACGTTGTAGGAGGCTTGGACGGTCAGGATTGCTCAGTGTCATCATCAGTTGATTTTGATCGGGTGGGATGGTTTGATGTGGATCAGGTGGCTTGCTCACCAAGCGACGACATGAATTGGTATATGGATTCTTCTTGTTGTGAGTATGAGAGGGATTGTCCAGCTGCTGATTCTGAATGGATTGATGACTATTATTGTCATGTTAGTTATGGAGTTGGGTTAGAGGAGCTTGCGTACAGTTCTTTATGGCAGGAAAATGCATATGATTCAATCATGTATGACTGAGCAAAGGACAACGTTAGCCCCAAGAAAAGAAAATTTCTCAAGGCATTGTTGTTTTTTAAGTGCAAGAAGGTCAAAGCATTTTAGCCCATCTGTACATTTGAATTCGAAAGCATTACAAATTTTCCATTATTCTATATTTTTTTTGTTGCCAACTAATGTGGTTTTCTTATTTGTAACTCTTTATAAATAAATAAAAAATAGTGGTCCAAATTTTTTTTGGGTCACCCTAATCACTAAGTAATAATATTCTATTTTGAAAAATAATGTTTCTATGAGAGAGTGGGTTACCCATCATATAAAAAAGGATCAAAGGAATTTTATTTTCATTTTCTTAAAAACGGTAAAATTTTAGGTATGCCAGAAATACCAGAAGTGCACTCCCTCTCATCTAGTGTATGCCAAAAATAACTTGCATAATAGCAGCGTTGCTGGACAAAGCACCTAATTTGGAAGATCTTTACTTATTGGAAGATGTAAGTAAGATGTGTACACACTTGAGCTAAGTTAATTATACCAACAAGACATTCTCATAATTTCATTAAATCTTTTATTGTCAGGGAATCTTTCAATTGAATGAAGAAGATGAAGAGGTTCAATGGGATCCACCAAAAGCTGTGCCAAATTATTTGTCGGCATAAGTGAAAAAAGTAGAATATTCATCCCCAAATTAATTGACAATGAGTTGAGAGGCCCCATAACATAATAATGCGAAAACGAAGAAAGGAATAATTCCAGGGAATTGAGACTTGGAAAACACCCTGAAGCAGGAGGAGCATTTTTTTATATATGTACAACTTGAACCACCCAGTTTCAAAACCTTGAGTGTTTTGCAGCTAAAAACGCTATTCTAGGCAATGAAAAAGTGCGTCAACATCTGTTAATAGTTCATACTATCACTGTAAGCTGAGCCCCTTGGAAGACACCTCTTATATACCGAGCTGATCATGTATGACACCATCTACGACAAACAAGGAACTCAGGAAGAATGTGACAGATTGGAGTGAGATAGGAAAGGAAAGGTCGGTTCGTGCGCATCCCATCACTGCAACACCATGCCTTAGCTAGAGATGCATTAAATGAAAACAGCCTGGCAGACAGGAAAGGTCGGTTCGTGCGCATCCCATCCTAAAACAGGTGTCGCTTTACCCTTCAATCTATGAGAAAACAAGTTGGTGATGGAAAAGGAACATTTAATACACCTCTCATCCTTGTTCACATGTCACTTCGCCACCTGACCTCTGTCAATAAGTAAGGTGATTAGAAATAGAGCATTAAATGTGATTCAACCTTAGGGGGATAAAGAAAAGATCTCTCTCATAAAAATATCTGGATCCCTCCTTCTTCCCCCTTATAAAACCTCACATATCTCTGGACAAATGTAATAAATATTCTCACTGTGGAACCCCTACATCCTTCTTTCTCCAGCTAAAATTAGTTTCTGACTTAACCATCCGAGGGGCCTTAGCTGGGATCAACCTCAGTCCGCCCTTATTCTGATATTGTTCCAAGTGTGCAGATCTTCCCTTAGAGATTATTCTTCAGCGTGGTTAAGTACGAGCTCAGGCCCCTACATAGGGCCCCGGTTATCTATACAAGAAGGATACGTGGTTCACAACATCCTTTATCACTGATAGCATTATAAATGGTTAGATCAAGTTCAACTACATTACGCCTAATGGCACTGCAAATACAATCCTCAATGCGAGCAAAGTCACTATTAAAACCATAAGCACTGAGACAAAAAAAATTTATGCCTGATGCGTCACCAGAGTGAAGTACACGCTCGATACGCATCTCAAAATGACGACGGCGGAGACAACAAAAATCTTCGGCGGCGAAGTCTAGATTGGAAACACAAGTCCATACATTGTTCAACCTTGTAGACAAAATGGTGGTCCTCACAGCCCACATTGTTGGAAGGAAGGAAAGAATGCGGCAAAGAAGAGCATCCGGCAATTCACTGATCCAATCTTGATCTCCCACCTGACTCTTTGACAGCCCACATGGAGGCTTGATCGGTTTCTGGGGAAAGCTTATCTGTTAATCAGGGTTTAGGGTGGAGGCTTTGCAGAGTTTTCCTTTGTTCTTAGTTTATATTGGCTAGGCCTGATATAGAGTTTTATTTTGTTTCTTCGTAGTTTGTTGGCTAGTTGGGCTACAATTTTGGGCCTGATTATGGATGGGCTTAGCGTATGGTGCTGGTTTACAGCCTAGTTATATAATTGGTTCACATGTTACAATATGGTGGACAATAATATTGATATTGTCCACTTCTAGAATATATTGTCACACTTCTATAATTAGATTATCAAAATAGACAAAAAAGAGATTTACTAATTAGAATTCTAAAACAAGACAAATAATTACTAAGAAATAAAACAATTCAATGATTATCTTTGGAATTAAAAACTTTAAAATTAAAATGGAAGAACCTTTCGACCAAAAAAAAAAAATGGAAGAACCTAACCCACACATTGATTTCTTTTTCTTCGAATTTTTTAAATTACAAACAGCAATCCTCCCAGTTCTACAATCAGGTGGCTTGGGGAGTAAGCGATGGCATGAAACTGCATATGATTCAATCATGTATGACTGAGCAAAGGACAATGCTAGCCCCGTTGAAAAGAAATTTCTAAAGGCATTGTTTGCCCATCTTGTACATTTTAATTGGAAAGCCTTACAAATTTTCCATTAATCTATATTATATTTACCAACTACATTAACGGAACGTGATTTTCTTATTTGTAAGTTTTATTTATTTTTATTTTTATTTTTTGTAATAGTGGTCCAAACAAAATTTACAAATTTATAAATAAACCCAATATTAGACATGTATTTATAAAAAAACCCAAGCACTATTTAAACATAGAAACACATCCAAAATCAACCCCAAAGTCAACTTTTTGGGTGTGTTTATAAATGGGTTTTGAGTGTGTAATGATGGGTTTTGGGTGTGTTTATATGTTTAAATAGTGCTTGGGTTTTTTTATAATTTCAACCCCCATTTTGGGTGTTTTAGTGAAACTCCCAACAAAATTTGGGTCACCCCAATTACCAAATAGATTTGGCCAAAAAAAGATATTTATAACAAACCCTATTTGTAGCATTAATTTTATATAAAAACACTACAACCTACAAATTAAAGAAAAAAACCAACTGCCCTATTTTTTAATTTAATGAGGTGTGAAATACCATTACTATCCTTGCAATATAGTTTTTAGATACACAAACTTCGGTGACAGTGTTATATTTTTTAGACTCTTTATGGCTTGTATGGTATATTTGATCTCATTGAAAAGTCAATTGAATTTTCCCCTAGAATTTAAGTATTATATGTGAAACTCTCAACAAAAAGAAAACATCAAATGCAAAGGACCCATTAATATAGTGGTTTGAGCAATTGCTCCCTTCCAGGAAAGGTCCTGGGTTCGAGTCCTGACATCTATTTAGTGTGTGTGAATTTAGTATACTATTGCCCTTCTCAATAAGAAAGGTCTTCACAAAAAAAAAAAAAAAAAAAAAAAAAAAACCTCCAAATAGTAATTTTGTTTTAAAAAATGTTTTTATGATATAAGGGAGACATGCAACAAATAAATTCCAAGGCAAAAGGAAAAAAAACAAAAGCCAAAGAAATTATATTTTATTCTTAAATACAAGAAGTAAAGGTAAAATTTTAGGTAGAAAAACAAAAGCAATATGAACTGATGGTAAAAAATAACTTCTTAAAACTTAGTTAGGCTTTATTACTTACGTGTTCACCATTGTCAAGTAAGACTGAGTAACTGAAGGTTTGATGAAGAAGGTGATGAGGTTTATAGTTTGGTTTTTCTAACAAATTTTTTTTTTTGTCATAGGTTTTTTTTTTAATACTTGGGTTCAATGGATTAAGAATTGTGTTACTACAATTTGTCATTCCATTTCATTAGAGAAACCAAACTTTTGTAAGCATAAAAACATATACTTTGAAAAATTAAAAAAAAATTGTAATCCTAGTCCAAGCATACACCAAACACAATATAAGTGTTATCGAACATAGGCCTGACTAAGCCAAGCCAAGTCAATAACTAAGCATAGTCTACACCAAGACAGTCTTGTGTAACAAACGAGGCCTAATAAGCTTTTTCCATATCTAATTTAATAGCCAGCCAGATTTTTAAAGTTCTTTTGGGGCAGAGTGGATAAGATTTCATTCGCTAAGAATGTTATCCAAAATTGACATTTGAGGAACCAAAGCAGCCTGATTTTGGATTGAGAAAAACAAGGTTGAGAATGGAAAATGATGGGACTGTGGTCAGAATTACAAATAGGTTAAATTTCCTCTATCCAATTTTGCCCATATTCTAGAATTTTCATTTTGATTATTATGCCAAGTGAAGAAAGCTCCTTTAGTTGGAATCTCTCCAAGACCATTACTGCACCAGCAGTATCAAGATTTGACATAGGTGAATGAACAAAAATATCATAAAAAGAGCACTCAAGTCGTGTTCAACAGTGATAGGAAAGAACTTCGCAGCAAACGACGCGGATATTCTAACTTGTAGGGAGACACAGATATAATGTTTGACCCTATGTAGATTAGAAAGATACAAGAAAAACAAAATAGTTCTATGCCTAACAGAGAAAGTGTGAAAATAAAAGCAGGATATAAATGCTATTACCCTTCTGCCTTATAATTCCTCATATCTACTTGTGTTCAACTTGACAAGTCATTGAAGCCCTTTGAAACACCTTTAGTTCCCTGTACAACCCCTCAAAATCTTCTGTACGCAAATTACCTGCATAAATTAAGGCACAACTTTTGGTGGATCCCATTGAAGCTCTGAATCTTTTCGATTGCATTTAGGGGTTCCCTGACAGTTAAAGATTTAATGAAATGAGAATGTCTTGTTGGTATAATTAACTTAACTCAAGTCTGTACAGATTTACTTACATAACCTGACAAGAAAATCACTTCCAAATTAGGTGATTTGTCCAGCAATACTCCTATTAAATCCCAATGATCGCGATGTCGAATAACCACCTCCAATCGGTTCAAATTAGGAAAAAAGGGGAGATACCCAGCCTTCATGAAGGACACAAGTATTCATCATTCAAAAACGCAAGCACAAAGTGCCAAAGGATGAAAAGACTAAAAAAAAATCAGAATATCCAACCCAAAACTAATCGGCAAGAGTTGAGAGGCACATAGCATAGTATTGTGAAAACAAAGAAAGCATAAACAAGAACAATAAACCTACCTTAAGAAGAGGCAGGGGATCTCTGTTTCCCTTATATAATTGGAATACAAAGAAAGCATATGGGGCACAAAAGCCTTCCTTATTTACTTTTTTCCATTCATTCAATTTTTCTGACTTTTAAAGAGATTGAAACATTTCCTGCTCGAATAATTTCTTTCAATATTCTACATTAATTTTTTGTCTACCGTAAAATACAGTTTACTGTGTAAAGAAACAAGAGGGAGTATTTACTTAATTACCTCTAAATGAGAAGCTGAGAGTGACAGATTTTTAACATTGGAAATTTCAGCCAAAAGCGCAGTTGCATGTTTGGCAAACGAAGCTCGGTTTACTTGAAAACGATTGTCCCGTAAATGAACATTGGCACTGATCAGGGATCTTGCATCCAAGAGAGCACCTGTCTCCACATCAAGGCTTTCAAGTTTTGGAGCATCAATACAAACACTGTTCATAAAATACTGTTCATGCAAACTTATTCTCAACGTCTTCAGTTGAGGCGCAGAGACCTGGATTTTATAAGCTACATCGTCTGCAAGAACCGCCTCAATAATCAAATGTTCAAGTACAGGACAGTTTGTAAAAAGCTTTTCCATTAAGCCCTTATCTGGATAAGGAACTCGAAGAACCTCCAGGGATTTGAGACTTGGGAAACACCCTGAAGCAGGAGGAGGAGCATAATTTATATAACTACAAAATGACCCACACAGTTTCAAAACCTGAAGGGTTTTGCAGATTAAAACGCTTATAGGCAACACGAAAGTGTGTTCTTTTTCATTGCCAGCATAAAGTTCAAGATCAAGTTCAACTACATTACGCCTAACGGCAGTGCAAATCCAACCCTCAAGGCGAGCAAAGTCTCTGACATAAGTCTTGAGACTAACCTCTTTGATGTCTGATGGATCAGTTAAGGAAAAAGTACACGCTCAACAAACATCTCAAAACGATCATAATCACAGCCATGGTTACACCAAAAATCTCTTTCGTCGTTGAAATCTAGATTGGTAACACAAGTCCATACGTTGTTCCACCTTCTGGACAAAACGGTGGTCCTCGCAGCCCATGTCGTTGGAAGGAAAGGAAGTAAGTGGCAAACAAGTGCATCCGGTAATTCACTGATCCTATCTTTATCTCCCTCCAGACACATTGACATCTGAACTTGAAGGCAGTCTTTGTATGGAGCCTTGATCGGTTTTTAGGGGAAACTTCTCTGCTAATTAGGGTTTTAGGGGTGGAGGCTTGGTAGAGGTTTCCCTTGTTTCTCTGTAGTTTATGTGCGCTACAAAGAAATAGTATAGCCGCTCGGCTATACCCTATATATAGCCGAGCGGCTATACGTCGGTTTTTTTATTCGGCTACACAGTTTTGGACACGTGGGCTCTAGCGCTAGGCGGGCTCTCTGTTTTATTTTTTATGTTAATAGTATAGCCGCGCGGCCATACCCCATTTAAATATAATATACTTATAGAGTATAGCCGCGCGTACTACGGGTTTTTATTATTTAAAAATAGTATAGCCGCGTGGCTATACTGTTTAAAAACTCAACCACTCAGTAATTATATCATTAGTCATTGATAAAACGACAACAGTTTACGACCAACAAGAAATATAATTCCTCGTATCTTGATCAATTGAACTTGATCAGTCATTGAAGCCAACCAACAAGAAAATCTTTAGTTCCCTGTATAACACCTCAGCTTCTTCTCTAGGAAAATAACCTGCATACATTATTATCATCTTATCGAGAAGATGACCACTCTCCAACAAATACTTAACCACTTCCATCTGAACCTTCAAGTTCAGATGTCAAATAGTCTTGAGGTGCGACGACAAACAAGTAGGCACAAGTTTTGGTGGATCCCATACTGCAGCTCTGAGTCTATTCGATTCCATTGAGATTGAGGGCTGCCCTGCCCCTGAGAATAAAAGATTTAATGAAATGAGAATGTCTTGTTGGTATAATTAACTTAGCTCAAGTGTGCAAGTATTCATCATTCAAAAACTCAAGCACAAATTAAGAATTTCCTTATGCATAATATATTATTTCATCAAATCATGAAGCGCCAAAGGATGAAAAGAAAAGTAAGTATAAAGGAATTACAGTATCCAGCCCAAAACTAATTTGTAATGAGTTAAACCAAGGCTTAACATTTTTGACGTGGGAAACTCATCTCGACAATAAACCAAAAAATAATAATAATAAACCTCTCGAACACACGCTACGCATATTGATAGATTTTTTTTTTCCTTTATCTTAGACACACCAAAAAAAAATAAAAGATTCCCTTACCTATAATTTTGTTTTTTGGTTGTTCGGCAAATAAGAGTAGAGAATTTGCAATGAACAATAAAGTCCTTCAATACATAGATATCTAACCGATGAAAATCCACTTTGTCAACCAACAAAAAACATAAAGAAAGAAAATAAACTTAATCATACCATGGAGGAACCAACTGGAAATTAAACATGCATGCTTACCACAATCATATCCTTGGTCCTTAACCGGGGTTACAGCACTTGTAGTCCAATCACAGGAAGGTGGCACCTCGGTTACATTTTCATATTTGAAAAAAGTGTTTCGAGTTCCTTTCATGGAGTTGGACGCTTTTTTGGAGAGATGTTGCCTCACATTGTATCCATTACGCATTGATCGAAGTTCCTCATTCTTGCGATCCGCAAACTTATTGATGCTTAGTGTGTACTTCCTTTGGTCCTTGTTCTCGTTAAAAGCCTCTATAAATTCCACACTGGACTTGAAAATGTCGTAGCGCAGCTCCTTCTCCTGTGCATCCTTATACACTCGTCCATGTTTAGCCATCCACTCCTCAAACCTCTGGAGCATGATTTTGTCTTCACCATAAAGTTGGCGACTACAAGATGCTTGAGAGGAGCAGAAGGCCAAAATGAGCACAAGAAAAAAGGCCAAGCAGACGCATTGGCCTTGGTTTGTGATGAGCAGAGCCATGATTAAGTGGTAAACACCTACTTAGAGTCGAGAGGTATCTTAGTGTGTGTACTAACAGAATAGAATATGATTATGATTGGCACAAAGATGCAAAATGGTCAAGGGATTTTATACACAAAGACTCGTACGCGTGTAATAACTCCCATGGCCAGAATAAATCTTTTTAATGTCAACAAATGTCTGGTTACAATCTTTTTTATTTAATTTCAAATCCTTTTAAGGATATAAACAAATTAAATGGTAATCCTTTGTCATGCCCCAAAACTAGTCTTTCCGATTTACGCGTGTAAATTTCATTGGGCTTAATTATACAAAAAACGCGTGTTCTTACTTCAAAGAAATGTTGGCTCGTTTTTCACCTCATCATACGTGTGGTTTGTCTCTATTCTCTTGATTAGAATGCCTGAATGCTAATGGCCATTGGATTGAATCTATACCCATTGGATCGCCACTCTAATCAACTACAATTTGTATCCTAGGGTAGTTTTTTTACCTTTTCTTTTTCTTTTTTGCCAAACCAAAAAAAAAAAAATTATTTAGAAACTAAAAGAAGAAGAAATATTTAGATCGGGAGCAAAAACTTGTACCCAAGTTCGAGTCCCCTCATCCGTATATTAGATTAATTAATAGTAGTTTAGGCCATCACTTGTATCAAGAGAAAGATTATATATACTTATGGCTTTTCAAGTTCATTTCAAATTGAAAAGATTAAACATTTTTCTCTTGGATTAGGTTGGATTTGTTCCATTGTGCATCTATATATCTATACGATATCCTTATGGCTAAATTAATTTTCAAATAATTTAAAATTGTATCTTTAATTATCTATGGAAAAAATTTCAAAACACAACTAATTCGTATTAAATATATAAATATATAAAATAATAGTCCATAAAATTGCAAATAAAAATATTTTAAAAAAAAAAGTAAGAGTTCATGTTCACCGAAAATTCTCTATGGATAAGGATAAAATAAAAATTTCGGAACAAAAAGCCCTTGTTTTCGTTCCTTATTTCAAGTAGCAAAGCAACAAAAACAAAATAAAAACATTATAATTTGTCCAATGATAAACAACACAAAAGGGTAATTAAGACCATAATTTTTGTAGTTCTTTATTATCAAGGATTTAGGTTATTCTCCTTGGCATAATTATCTGCAACAAAATACACCCCGGTATATATGCTCATTTATCTCAATCCACCTTACATGTCAAGCCCTGATTAGTCCATAAAATAATTACCCAAATAATTCGGAACCTGAACTTAGGTTACAAGAAATTCAACCACTATAAATACACCCCAAATAATTAGTTGCTCCATCACTTGCAGCAGTTGGTTCTTCTCTTACTGCGCATCATTAATTAGAAACCCTAGTTAAGAAATAAGTATGGGTGGCTATCAAGTTCCAGTTGGGTACAGGTTCACGCCTTCAGAAGAAGAACTACTTCTTCACTACCTTCTCCCCAGAGTGAATGGAAACGACTATCCTAAAGGTGTTGTTCCTGACTGCGATCTCTACGGTACAAAAGAACCATGGGAGATATGGAGAGATTTCCACCACTCATCACCAGATGATCAAGAAGACATCTACGTCTTCACCACACTCAAGAAGAAGACTCCAAATGGCTCGCGGTTTTGCAGAACAGTTGGCGCCGCCGGTACCGGTGTTTGGAAAGGAGAAGACTCCGGCAAGAAAATACGTGCTTGTGGGAATGATATTGGCATCAGAAAACGATTTCGGTACATGAACCCTGGCTCGCCCCATGATGACCGTTGGATCATGCTTGAGTTTCAGCTTGATGAATCTCTCGTGCGGGTGCGAAACAAGGAGACAATTGTTCTTTGTCTTGTTAGAAAGAAAGAAACATCGGGCAAAAGCAAATTAGAAGAACGACAAACTCATGAGGTAGACATGCCTTCCCGTGGAGAAATCCAAGCCCAGCATGTGCATGATGATCAGCAGCAGCATATTGACGCTAGTACTTATGATCAACTTAGGGTTCTCGAGGATTTCCATATGAACGATGTCGAGGGTGAACAGGACACCATGGTTAATCCAACTTTGCTTGCACAGTACAATCAACAGTACATGATTGGCACAAGTAGTGAAGATCAACTTAGGGTTCTCGAGGATTTCCTTATGAACGATGTCGAGGGTGAAGAGGATACCGTGGTTAATCCAGTTTTGCTTGCACAGTACGGTCAGCAGGGCACAAGTATTGAAGATCAACTTAAGTTTCTCGAGGATTACCTTATGAGCGATATCGAGGGTTAATCCAACTTTACTTGTACAGTAGGAGCAAAATTAATTCCTCTTTTTGTAATTTCTCTGTTCTTAATACGACACTATAAGTATATACATGTAGCTTGCTTCCAAATTTAATACACAAAAGGATTTATTGGAGTACTTATATGGCGAAGAATTTCATAAGTTGTATATACGAACAAAATAATAAAACATATATTCAATATAATACTGCTTTATTTAAGACAAAGTTGTGCAAGGAAGTGAAAATATTGTGAAGTTAATATTAGGAGAAAACCACAAACAACAGTTAACTAGCGTTGTCAGGTTTTTTACGATTTCAACCCTGCGAAGTATAAGATTGGAGCTATCAAAATAAAGTGCAACGTAACCTAATCGTAATAGACCCTATCATATAGTATCAACACATGTGTAATGGAAGGCAGTCATTATTCACTGATAAAAACTAAGTACAACAAACAAGGTGCACAACGTCTCATGATCATGATTAGCGCTTTACAATCAACAAGAAACAAATTAAAAGAAAAAAAATAAACTTAATCATACTAAGCTATTGCTCCAAGCATCTCATGATCATGAATTAGCAGCTGCTTTGAAATCTCATGCGGTTGGATAATAAGCTCCCATAGCAATGCCACATAGTCCTTCTTGAGCATCAATGTCCCTTTGAATCCTCATGTATCATTTCTCCCCCCATTGGTCTCCCCAAGAATTTTTTACTAGCCAATACTATAGTAAGAGCATGAGTTAAGTTTGTACCACATGGTCCAGTGTACAAACCGCCAGAATAATATTTGAATTCTCCTGCTTCTGCATCAATATAAACTGAAACTGGCTGGTTCGCAACAGCCTTCAATAGAGCACTTTCGTTGTTTTGAGGCACTTGCTCGTATCCAGTTACAATTATAACACCGGTAGAAGCATTCAAGTCAGCCATGCAAATTCCATTATCTACGGCCTTGTAAGGGTAGCCATCTTCAGTTGCTAGGGTCCTATTGTGTTGGATCATGTATTCAAGGGCTTTGTCCACATAACCACCACGACAGCCATTAACTTCAGTACTAGTTCCACAATCGATAAGCTCTTGTTCTGATAGCGAAATTAAGTTTCCTGTTTTAAGATAGTTAAGGCCTTCTACTGTTGCCACTGTTGCGAACGCCCAACAACTCGCTATATATAATTAATATCATGATATTGAGTCAACATCATCATTGGATAGAGAAAAGTAGTGTATGCACACACACACAAAAAAAAAAAAAATTACACTGTATAGATTAAAATTAAAAATGCATGCTTACCACAATAATATCCTTGGTTCTTGATCGGGGTTACAGCAGTTGTAGTCCAATCACAGGAAGGTGGCACCTCGGTTACATTTTCATATCTGAAAAAAGTATTTGGACTTATTTTCTTGGAGTTGGAGGTGATCGCTTCTTTGGAGAGATGTTGCCTCACATTGTAGCCATTACGCATTGCTTGAAGTTCCTCATTGGTGCGATCCGCAAGCTTATTGATGCTTAGGGTGTACTTTCTTTGGTCCTTGTGCTTGTTACAAGCGTCAATGAATTCCACATTGGACTTGAATATTTTGTAGCGCAACTCCTTCTCTTGTGCATCCTCATAAACTCGTCCGTTTTGAGCCCTCCACTCCTCAAATCTCTGGAGCATGATTTTGTCTTCACCATAAAGTTGGCGACTACAAGATGCTTGAGAGGAGCAGAAGGCTAAACTGAACACAAGAAAAAAGGCCAAGCAGATGGATTGGCCTTGGTTTGCGATGAGCATAGCCATGAGCAATTGGTGAACCCGGGCTTTAGTGTCTGTGTAGTAATGAAAATAGAAATCTGATTGGCACAAGGCATGCAAAATGGGATCGGATTTTATACACAAAGACTTGTCTTCCCTTCTACGCGTGTAATAACTCCCCAAATTAATCATTTTAATGTAAAAAACACGGTCAAAATAAAAGATAAAATTTCAAAACCTGGTATTACAATCCTTTTATACAAATTTATAAATAAACCAAATCCTAGACATGTATTTATAAAAAAAACTCAAACACTATTTAAACATAGAAACACACCCAAAATCAACCCCAAAATCAACAATTGTATATTTTTTGGGTGTGTTTATAAATGAGTTTTGAGTGTGTGTAATGATGGGTTTTGGGTGTGTTTATAAAGTGTTTTGGGTGTTGGATTTTTTTATAATTTCAGCCCCCATTTTTGGTGTTTTAGTGAAACTCCCATCTTTTTATTTAAATTCAGATCCTTCCTTTCAAGGAAATAAATAAATAAAATAGCCATCCATGTTTGGTATTTCCGATTTTGTTCCAAATCTTTGACCCAAATTGAAATGATCAATGGACTTAATTATAAAAAACGCGACTTTACAAAAGATATTTCCTTCCTTCTTTGTTGGACTCGTTTTTCACTTGATCATGGAATATTTGGTTGTGTCTATACACACCTTAATAGCCATTAGATGGAATCTGTAATGTTTTGGATTGCCACACTGATCACTTATCCCACATTGAAAAACTCCACTTATCCCATATGCACATTGAAAAACTAGTAAACTTGTTTGTCTTTTTTGTTTTCCTTTTAGAAATTCTAGAATTGCATTTATAATTCAATTAAAAAAGCTATTACTAGCCACAAAATGCCATTATAATATAACAGAGCGATCTAATTAACATCAAAACTTGTCAGCAACAGTGTTAGGGCCAGTCCTAAGTTTTCTAAAGCCTAGGAGTTTCCTAAAGCCCATTGCGAGGAGAAAGACTTCTATGAAAATGAGATTGCATTTTGCTATCCCATCTAATAACAGTATGACACACGTGATAACATTTACACTTTCACGTGTCATGCATAAACATTATTATTGTATGAGAATAGTGTGCTATATCCCGTTGCAACTAAGTTTTCTCCACAAAATGGGGCTAAATTGTACCCCTTTCTAAACGCTTTAACCACCATTCCCTCACAAATGTATATGCAACTTCTTTCTTTCCTTACATATAACTAGATACTCAACATATATATATATGTTGGTTTTTCCCACCAACTAATATCTTTCGATATCTATATGGTTGTAATTCCTCTCAAGTTGAAAAGATTAAAATAAATTTGGATAAAGTTCTCGGTAAAATTAAAGAAAATTTGAACAACTCCGCAAAAATAGACAAAAAAATTTCTCATTTTTGTGCACATGATCATTTCAGCCATCAAAAGCTGAACAACTCATGAAAAATGTAGGCAATAGATAATATATTATTTTATGTTTTATTAATTTAGAGTAAAAACACACCAAAAAATAAAATATCTTTTTCCATTAAAAACATTACAAAGTAGGAATCTTTGTTCCTGCTTGATTTTGATAACAATTCCCAATTGAATTAGGATTCTAGTTTGACTTGGTTCGTCGTTATGGCTGAATTTTTGAACAATCTAAAATTTTATCTCCATCTAACCAAAATTTTATCTTTATCTAAGACATTAAAATGCAAATAATTATAAAAAAAACAAAAAAATTATTTTCTATGGATAAAGATAAAATAAAAGTTCTAACAAAGAAGCCCCCTTGTTTTCCTTCCATAAATAAAAGTTCTGCAACTCTCAACTGTGAGTTCTAAATATTTATCAAAATTCCAACAACAACAACAAAATATTTACCAAAATTAAAACCATGCATATACATAATTGGTGAAAAATGGAAACTTATATTTTATTTTTGGTGGAAATAGTTTCCATATTTCAAGGAAAATATATAATGGCGGTAGCTATTTATTCTCGTTGGGCTTAATTATCTGCAACAAAAGACATCTGCGCTTAATTATCTCAATCCATGTTACATGTCAAGCCATGATTGGTTCATAAAATCATTACCCAAATAATTCGGGTACTGATGAGCTTGGATTGCAAGAAATTCAACCCTAATGACCACTATAAATACACCCCAACACTTGATCACCATATTCACAATCATTACTTTCTCTATCATCACTCTACAACAAGTATGGGCGGCTATTATCAAGTTCCAGTGGGCTACAAGTTCAGGCCTTCAGAAGAAGAACTATTTCTTCACTACCTTCTCCCCAGACTCAACGGAGAGGACTATCCCGAAGGTGTTGTTCCTGACTGCGATCTCTACGGTACAAAAGAACCATGGGAGATATGGAGAGATTTCCACCACTCATCACCAGATGATCAAGAAGACATCTACGTCTTCACCACACTCAAGAAGAAGACTCCAAATGGCTCGCGGTTTTGCAGAACAGTTGGCGCCGCCGGTACCGGAGTTTGGAAAGGAGAAGACTCCGGCAAGAAAATACGTGCTTGTGGGAGTAATATTGGCATCAGAAAAAGATTTCGGTACATGAACCCTGGCTCGCCCCATGATGACCGTTGGATCATGCATGAGTTCCAGCTTGATGAATCTCTACTACGAGTGCGAAACAAAGAGACAATTGTTCTTTGTCTTGTTAGAAAGAAAGAAACACCAGGCAAAAGAAAGTTTGAAGAACTACAAAATCATGAAGACGTGCCTCCCCGTGGAGAAATCCAAGCCCAACATGTTCATGATGATCAGCAGCACCATATTGGCCCAAGTACTTACGATGAACTTAGGGTTTTGGACCTTATGAACTATGTGGAGGGTGAAGACAACATGGTTAATCCTACTTTGCTTGCACAGTACGATCAGCAGGAGCATCTTGGCACAAGTACTGATGATCAACTTATTAGGTTTTTAGAGGATTACCTTGCGGATGTCGAGCAAAATTAATTCCTTTTTTGTAATTCCTCCTTATTTGGAATGTTTGTGCAAATTGTTGACAATTTTTTTTGTTAGAAAAGTTTATAGTTGAACGTGCATACATGTCCATAAATAATTAATATTATTTAGAGGATTTTATGCAATTTATTTTTCTTAATTTCCAAGTACTATATTCACCTGAGCGTGCGTATTGGTTCTTTTATAATTGATTGGGAACAATGATACAAGTTTGCATGAATACCACGTAACTAGGCAGCCTGATGCAATATGGGTTGGAATATAATATTTCTTAACGAAAACAAAATGAATGATGGACCAAATTAATAGAAAGAAGATTATGAAGAGAACGCAGCTGACATTAATGGTACAACTTACTTGTCATGTTTGGTAGTGGCTGGAAATTGTCCTATTGAGATTGTATGATTGAGCTTGAAGCATCCTTAGGAAGTATAGTATAAGGTTTGGTATAGATGGATAGGCCATTGGTTTTTGAGATCTTGGAAAAACCAGCCACTAATTGTTTTTATAGGAATATGCAGTGCAATTTGGTTCTACATACAGAAGAAAAACATTGGGTATTCACATGTGGGCTTGAGTTATGAAACTGCCATTGCAGGGCACCACTGGAGGATTATAATTTCAGCTTTTTCTAATATATGCATTCTTCATCTTGTTTTCAATATGAGTGCACTTTGGAGTCCTGGGGTAGTGGAAAAGTTGGGGCCTATAGGTCTCGGGGTGGAATATTATTTGCAGTACACGCTTGTCTTGGTTGTACTATTCGGAGCGCTAGTTAAAACGATGTGATCCTTTCAAATCTAATAAATCCTATGATATGAATCCCTTAAAATTCATAGTAAAAAATTTTGATTATAAAAATTTCTTAAATAAAAATCTTGATCTTATATAGATTATTCGGATAGATCGATAAATAATTTGTTACACTTGAATTATTAAGAGTTCATTTGATAATCATTTTGTTTTCATTTTACAATTTATATGTGTGTGCGCTTTTTACAAAAATTCTGAATTTTTCTTCTTTGCTGATGCCAAACCACTGATCCAGCAACATGTGATTTTGGGTCTATTTCCTTCTTTCTGTGCCACCCATCAGTTTCCTCGGCCAACTATCTTTTCCTACTGATCTCATCTAAGATCTAGATAATATAGATACACATATGGTGGACCATATATGCAATGGACACCAAAATTGGGAGGTCTTATATATATATATATATATATATATCGATTATATTGCTTCCTAACATCACTTACTGCAATGCTTTACATTACAGTTCAAGAGATTTTAACATTCTTTTTTTTTTCTAATAAAAATATTTAAACATTCACCATACACAAATTATGCATCGGCTTAATTCATCTCAATAGCACAAGATATGTTAAGTTAAATCGAAGACGAATGATTTCATTATTTCTCTCCTTTTCCCATAAGTCATGAAATCTTTCTAAAGCTTGAAGTTATCTAATATAAATAATAAAAAATGAAATGATTTCCATTTCTAAGTCCCCTTTCCGCGAATCAACCAAAAGCCTCATTTTCAATCCCACATATCTAAAAGATCGTATTGTTTTGTATATAAATACAGTATCAAGATGGAAAATATAACTAAAGAATGGATCATAAGTTGCCAAAGTTGGAAGTACATATCATATGGTGTCCAATCAAGGGTAGAATAACAATGCCTACCAACCGCCAACATGGCCATATAGGCCATCCAATGAAAAAGTGATTGTAGAAGCTTTGCTCTCTTTAAAGGTTTTGCCTTTTGACCATCAAATTATAGCCACTGTTTTCATAACATTACTTCATGCCTTTGCCTTCCACATTAGCACTAGAGCTTTATTTAGGGAGCTTTATGGGAATAGGTTGTCTCTTTGTCTTGTTTTGGGTTTGCTTAGCCTTCTCGTCGGCCGTGTTGGAAGACAACTAATAATACTAGAGATAAAAACAATGTTATGTGAACTGATGACTTCCAGCAATTATTTGGGACATAAAGGAAAGTTGCAGCACTCACAATTATGCATCAAGCTCAACTGCTTTTTAGTTTTAAAATAAAATATATGTACTGCTTTTGAAGGATGCTTTAAAGTGAACAGAGTAATTATTTGCAACTTGATTTTGATTGGGATGGAATCTACCCGTAAATATGTTAAGATTTTAGAGAAACGAATCTTTGGCCCACTACTAGCAATATTGATATTGTCTCCAACTTAACTACATGTTTAGCAGGTGTGAGATTTTATCCAAAATGCATCGGTATTATTAGGAGTGAAACCATTTATCATATGAGACTTTTTAATTATTTAAGTTTATGACGTGGAACTCTATGTATTCTTTAACACCTTCTACTAGCGGACTTGAGGTGCGATTGCTTATTGAGTAACGCTAGAAAACCAACGTTGAGACAATAATAATATAGCTCACCTTAATGTAATGTCGCAGTTGTTATGTTTGATTAAACTATAATAATTGATGTAAAAATTAATAATAATCACACGTTCACCATCATACAATGGGATAAGGAAACGGAAATGTGTCTTCTTTTTTCAGTGGGTGGTTCTAGTGTCGGACAGTGATTTGTGTGCGAGAAAAAATAAGTCACTACGTATAAGATTATTCATGTCAAGTGAAAATGTAGAGTACTAATGAGGTATTGGTGGTTGGATTGGCCTAAGTCTTTGGTGTGTCCAAGTAGTCTCGAGTTCAAGTTTCTATCGTATCTATGTGTGTGAGTTTTCCTCCTTCCTTTTCTAACTTTGGCAACAACAAAAAAAGGCAATATAAAATGGTAAAGCAGTATAATTAAAAGATAACATGTTTTTTAGATATAAAAACTAATTATCAAATTTAAACAAATGTAATCTTTTAATCGGATTGTTCTACAACATGTGTAGCAAAATCAGTCCCGCACAATTTTTTTCATTACTCATTCGTTAATAAGAATAGGGAATTTGCAATAGTATTAAGAATATTCATTTGAAGAATAATTAATAATAAAAACGTTTGGATTCATTTACTCGCGCGAAATAAGAAAACACGTGTAATCAAGAGTTTCGCGAACATTTTAACAAAAGAAAAGAAAAAGAACATAGTTTCAAACGAAATTCATAGAACTCCCTCCCTGCCTTCTCACTTGGGTCACTTTCTACTCTCTCAGAACAGAGGGAAAGCAAAACACAGCTTCAAAAGCAAAAGCAAAAAGATCACAAATCCTCTTTGCAAACGACACTTTAGAAAGCAAAAAAGCATACCCATAATCAAAGCTGACCACATTAAGCAACTCATGGCGAAGATCCCACATATATACTCTGAACCCATGTCATGTTCTCCCTTGTTCACAATCCCATCATTCCTTTTGAGCTCAGAACAATGTCTGAGATTGTGGTTGCAGAGCCTATCTATGAAGATGACCCACCAGAGCCGGAAAGACCCATTACAAGGTCCATTACCATGGGCACTGGAAGTGAACACAATCATGTTCCTGAGCCATTTGAGAGCGAAAGATTGCCTGCCTCTTTGGCTTCTGAAATCCAGAGGTTTCTTCGTGTTGCAAATTTGATCGAAAGCGACGAGCCTCGTATTGCTTACCTGTGTAAGTTGTTAAAGTTGAGTTTTTGTTGAATTGGGTTTGTTTTACAAGGTGTGAATTTTAAAGGGGTGAGCTTGTTTCTGATAAAGTTGGAGGTTTCTAGTCTTAACTAGCTAGTCAGTCAAATGGCTTTAATTGTGAACTATAGGATGAAGGTTTCATGTTAGATAAGTCCATTGAGTGCTCATATTTTGGCTGATATGCACAATGGAGATGTTGATTGCAATTTTCCAGCACCATGTCCAGAGATGAAAGTTTTCTTTGAACTAATCTTCTGTTTTGCCACTTAGAGAACTGATACAAATTAAACTTTTGATTCTTTTGTTTTCCAAAAGGGAAATTTTGATTCTAACAACCAAAATGTGAAGCTGGGCCAAAATTTTTTGTAACAGAACGTTGAGTAGTACTTCTGTTCTTTTGGGTGTTAAAAGATTTATACTTTGGTTGCAGAAATTCAGTTTATTTAATTACCTTACCATCCTGAACAGTTAAAGAAGGTATAGCCATTCATCTCAATTTACAGGGTTAAATCAACAGTTTCTTAGGAAGTTGGAATTTCCAGAGATGATAGGAAAAATGGTTGAAGGAAATGATCTTGTTGGTTTAAATTTCGAGTAGTAATAAAGGTTTGCACTCATTTTGAAATGAAACTTCTTTCCCTTTTCTTTTCCTTTAATTTCCAATTCAAACACATCTTTTCTCAAAGATTGCAGAACCCAATGCTGTACAAATGTGATTCATTGTGAGTTCAAATGAATGCATGAGCCATTAACATTGTCTAAGTGAATCTTATTGAGCAGGCCGCTTTCATGCCTTTGAAATAGCACATAATATGGACCGCAATTCGAGTGGCCGGGGTGTTCGACAATTCAAAACTTCTCTTCTCCAGCGACTTGAACAGGTGGTTTCACACGTTGTAGTATACTACACAAAAATATGCAGTTGCTAACAGGGTAATTGCATAACTTGCATGTATGTAGTAGGATTAAGTTAAAGACTCAAATTAGCAGTCAGAGCCTTAGGCTAGACAACGTTAAACAGATACGGTGCACATGTCTATTAAGTGATTGTCTGAAAAGTTGATTGGAACTTGTTTCAACAATATATAAAATTTAACATACAATAACGTTGTTCGTGTGCTACAATAGGTGATATGAAGTTTTTATTCCTGGCTCAAAACCTGTGATTACCAGCTGATTTGAAATCACTATGATGTGCAATGTATTTAGAAACCTATTTAAATAAATTTTTTCTTCGTTAAATATTCTATCTTTTTTTGTATGTTTCCATGGATTCTATGATTAAGTTCTCTCTCAATATCATCATTACCTGTAGTTTATGTT